TGGTAATTATTTCTAGAAAACCCATGCACTGTAGACTTTTTAACACTCAAATCTGTACAGCCAATAGTTGCATAACTTAGAACTTGTACATAACTGATAAACTATCTTGCCAATTTCTAGTTAAACTCTATTGAGATGTCAGAAATCGAGATTACTCATACAGACGTACACCCATGATTTATATCATTCACATAATGGCCAGTCCCCTTGTAACTATAATATTTAGAAAAACACTTATTTCTTTAGTTAGCTTCCCATTCATGGCCAATTTTTCAAAGGAATCGTTACTGTGTAACCATTTCCTTCATTATCATCTCTTTTGAGGTATGATTAAGGTGTTAATGTCTGGGTTAGGACAAGACTAAATATATACCGAACGTCAACTTCTTAAAATAAAAATGTAAAAAACTTGGCGATTGTTTAACCTATTCTTAATATTCACTTTTACACTGTTGACTTATAAGTTATAGGCCTAAGTAACTTTACAATGGCATTCAAACGGAAACACCTCTCTAATGGTGCTGCGATTAACTTGTACAATATCATGGTTAATCGATCAAGTAACTGAATATATGCAATAACAAATCCAGATACTTCCATGAATTAAATTGATTGACATACTTACTGCTCGTCGATTCTCGTATGTATAACGTAGCCATTCTCCAGACACTTAAAAAAGTTTCTCGTTCACAATATTCCTGAACGTTCTATGTATTCTAGGAGCAACTTAACGTCATGTGCCCACTAGCTAACATCAAAATTAAAACATTGAAAATATAGCTTGAAACAATATTTTGTGAAATGGTATAAAGTTATGCATGAGGAGAAGGCCTAACGTCTAAATGTACTGGGCTAAAACCTTTATCGGCTAATTAATTATACTTTTAATATACAGACAATTGTAAATTAACAAAATATATTGAAATGTAATAGAAAGTATCTTCAGTTGCAAAATAACCTTAGAAATTTAGTAGTACTAGTAGGTAGTTACGGGTAGTCATAGTTTTGCATTTCTTTTCTTTGTTATAATCTGTACATTTTAGTTGTTTCAGTAAACATATATGTTACAAATTTCTTTTCAATCACACCAAAGGTAAAACCGAAAGGAGAATCTGTGACGTAGACGCCTAATGTTTTCTTTGATTGGCAGTACCCTCTGCTGTGGACTGCATTGGTACAGCATGGGCTGGCAAATCAAAGAATTACAGTTAGGACCCTTATAACGGTGATTTGTATACAACATTAATGGGGGTTTTAAATCGTTTTCAATCACCAATAAATTAAACTAAAATAATTTAGGTATTTGAATAACGTTAGAGTTTGGCTGGCTCCCCTTTTTAATAATTGTGTGCCTTTCCACTCTAAAGTACACCTTTTTAACAATAAATAATGTAAATAAATAATTTTATTCCCTGCCTCTCCTAGCTACAGGCCAATAATTTAGAATATTATATCTAAGTTTGATGTATCATCTGGCTGCATCAATATAAAAGATGTGTGCTAAAATTATATGGCACCCATTCAGGTGACTGACCCCCCCCCCCTCCTCTCCAAAATCCCAGATCCACTACTGCATACAGGCCAAACACTGATTTCTGAAACCAACATAACTCAGATTAATAACTAAAATCATTATATTCATGTAGACAACACAAAAATTATCTTAACATTATAAACAAAAAATTTGTGTTAACAACTACCTCCTTCAGAAATAATACTGGTAAAAAAAAATTCTCCATTTGGAGTTTGGAAATAGCTCAATTATAAAAATCAAAAATATTTCTCAATCAAAACTACTGGAAAACAGTAACTCTACTACATTTTTCTTCAGTCTGAATGAACAGATAATTGTGATTTTCTTTAATGAAGCTTATATCACAAAATCTATGAGTATTATAGTTACCTAAACTCCAAAATATTTCTTCACCACACCAATATCTACACTGCATCAAGTGAAAAGCATGTACTCATTGGTATGGTGAATATTCCTTCATCAAACAAATGAATACACCATGTTTTTCACTTGATGTAGTGTAGGTTAATCTAGTAACTTTATATCTTTTTCTCAATGAAAACCTCATGCTTGTGGATACTTCAGTTTAATACCAAACTAGCAATATTCTTTATGAACTTTAAGAAAACATAGAACACACCATATTTCTCTCTCGTTGTAGTTTAAACATATAGTCCTTACCAAACATACATGGCTCAATATTTCAAGCCAAATTCTTCATTTGTGTGAGAAACTGTGCTCTTGTATGTATAACATTTCCATACGTAATTAAATATGCATGTATATAAACTGGTACATATGGATTCACATATGCAAAATCTATTTCCATGCCATATATCAACCAATGCATAAGTGTTGCACATGAAATCACTATTCAGTGGCAAATATCATAAACAAATTAACTGTTGCTAGCATCATTTTTACCTTCCTGCACGGTAAAGCACATGTAGGATTTTAGGTACCACCCAAATAATTAAGACAGTCCAACTTGAATGTTTTCCTGAAAATTTAAGTAATCAAAAATACAAGTAAAATGAAATGGCTCTTCATGTCATAATCATCAGTCCTTATTGCATTTGATATTGCAAACTACAGAACACATACACACAGTTCAATGCAGCAGAAGTACCAGGGCCAACAGCAAAATTACTTTTGCTATTTGAGAGTCAGAGTTTCCAGATGTCATCAGTAATCAAAATAAACTGCCAATTTTCTAGGATCTTATCTAAAAATCTTGTCTATCCTAGCTGTGGATCAAGCAAGTATTGCATGCCAACACTGTAGAAATTCTACTACAACCCTTCAAATATATTGAGTGGTTGTCACAAGATATCTATTAATATCTTTTTACAACATGTAGCTCAGAAAATAAAGGTCATAATGCCCTTTCAACTTTGATCTATCAACCACACAACTGTCCTAACTGTAACTTGATAAATCAGATAAACAGAGTAAAATTTAATGAAAGTACAACGTTTCACTAGATTAACCTGGCATCAGGTACGTCAACTACAATGAATGAATTGAAACATATATATATGTATAGGAACAGTTATTGTATGACTTACATATGAGAAGAATATTCTCAGCACAGAAGTTGTACAGTATGGTACAGATTAGACTGAAAAGCTGAATTTTGGCACGCACGAAGCAAACTGCAAGAAAATCCATAGGCAGAAAAGCACCAAGAAAACAAATAGCCACTAAAGCTGCTCAAAAGAGTGCTCCAGCCACAGGAGATGTAAAGAAACCTTACATATGTAATTGATGGCTTTATACCATTCTTTGCTAGGGACAAAACTGCTGCAATGGACAGTTCTACTTCCACTAACATTAGTATCTAGGATAAATAAACAGTCCTTACAAGGGTAAGCCAGAATTGATGCTTTGACCAAAGCATGATGCAAATGAAGCAGGGCCACCTTCCCTGATGCTCCTGACATTTTTAGCAACTCTTTCTGCACATGTGGGGGCAACTATGATAAATAGGACTAGAAAACCCTCTTGTCTTATCTGAAATCCTGACTATGTCTTGTGGCTTTTGATACAGTGGAGCTGACATTCAAGCCTTAGGATTATGGACCTTAGAGATTACTTTAGAGAAGAGTCCACAGTTGGAAGTAGTTCAACATAATCACTTCAAACCACATCACTACAGAAACCATCTCTGTCAAAGACAAGATATTCCTGAGGTCCATTTGGCACCACATCATTTGCTTGGCAGTTTCTTGATAAACTTATTGATGGGTATATCATCATCATTGATAGGAGGCATGCTAGGAAATGCCTTCCAATGTAGCTTTTTTTAGATCATCTATGTAATAGTCTATGAGCACTGAAATTTGGCTGTGTTGATCAGGATTCTCCACAGGGGTCATATCAATGGTACCATCATATATTGCATTACCTATCCCAGAGTCCATTCATTCCAAGCAACAACATGGCTAAAATGCTTATGTAAATGGTCTAAATCTTCCTTTGCTATCTTCTTTAATGGTTGTGGATTCACTTGTTTCACATCACCAACATAATTAAGTCATGCTGCTGACAAGTACTGTTACCAGCTTATCTACTGTCTTATTTCTAAGATGCTATCAGCATTTAAAGGAATCCCTCATTTTCCTCAAAAAACAACAACAAGAAAACAGAGACACACAGATCTAGATAAACACAGTGAAAGTGGGAGAAGCCTGGAGAAGAATTCCATGACACATACTGCATTCACCACAGGTGATGGATGCAGTCTTGAAGCATCACCAATGTGCTTTACAGCTAAAAAGTCTCCAGACTGTCCCAAAGGTCTGCAAGGTACTAGATGTTATGCCTGGTGGCATTATGTCTCTTCAGTTACCACGATCAACTCACCCACTCTCCTTGATCATTATTGACACAAATATGTGCCTGAAAATGCCTGAGCTAGTTAACAAAGATACCACCTTAGTGAGTTTTGGAACATCAAAACTGACTGTGACCCACCTTTATCACCCTCTGCTCCTGCATGCATGAATTAGCCATTAGAGATTGAGCCTCAGCAGACAGAGTTTTCACTAGCTACCTCTCAGTTTTAAGTACAGATCAAGAATGTATATATAGCTTTCACAATAGCTGGCAAAATCTCCTGGTCTAAGAGAAGACCTTTCCTAGTCATTGCTGCCCTCTCAGATCATGTCCTCACCTCAACTGTAGTTTTCTCTTGTTCTCAGATGGTATCTTTCCAGTTAGAAGAAAGTTCAAAATAAACTCTGCAATAAAAAATAATAGGTCGTGGAATCAAAATGTATCTTAATAAGATAGTTTGTGATATTCAGGTATACTGAGGTCCAATATAAAGTTATACATATACTCAATAAACATTAGATTCGGGAAATGTTAAGCAGGGAATAATTTTAAACAAATGACAGCAAAGGAAGAGGCACAAACAAAAGGTAATGAATAAAACAAAATTTTTGTAAATATAACAAATACGTGCTTTTTTTTTTCTTTTTAGCAAACTTCATTGTTCCTTACTTGGAAACTCTAGCTGTTTGAAATGGAGAAAATATGACTGCACAAGACAAAGACATAGAATCAGGATAATGATGACTTACTCGCTAGAAACATTCATTCTAACTTATCAGTGTTACCTTAGAATTAAAGTCCCAAATATGACATTCCATGGTCATACATTACATATGTTAATGGTCATTTCCATTATACATATTCAAGGGAGATAAGCCCCAACTTCTAAGAATCTCTGTTCCACTCCTTGAAATAAATATAGTGTAACTTCATGAGGCCATGGCACAGAAACATTGTAAAGAAAGTTTAAACTATATTGAACAATTGTTATGGTATGTAACCTTTGACTAAGCTAGAGGATTAGCAGAATTTTACAACCTTCCTACATCCTGTTTACAAGGACACCAACTAGCAAATGAAAACATCTGCATGAAAAATTTGCTTGAATATATGCAAGATATATTCTTCATAGTTAAGAGGGGATAAATAAACAATATTTTCAACAGCAATGCTGGATGTTACTTCTATTCTGGATGTGGCCCAAAAATGTCAATTGGAAAACATTCTAATAACTCCATACAGTTATTGATCAATCAGTGTTAAGAGTCTTAACTAAATTTTAATAAGAGTTCTCATGAACTATTTCTTAACAATATTTGTCTTCTTCTAACATTTGATTGTGACTTTTTATTTGTTCACTAACTTAATTGCATGATCATGTTCTGCTAGCTCCATTTTCATTTACTTGTAAAAGTGAGAAAACAAATAAAAGTGAAGTAAAGTAGAATATGAAAAAGTAAAAACTACCTATTTAGTAATTATTGTACTTTACTCGATTATTATAATTAAACAACAGATATTGATACATGTAAAAACAACTTCACATAATAAATTAATCAGTAAGCTTCTATATATAACCCATTTGAAACAAAAATAAACATTTAAATACAACACATTTGTTCTGTGTGTGTGTGTGTTCCTTAAGCCACAAACTTTTTTTCATTTTAAAATTTTCAAAGACTTATGTCAACTTATTCATTTTATGTTGCTAGTATTATTGTGATAGTTGGTTATATTTTCAAAAAAGCATCATAGTTTTATAAAATAAAATAAATGTTTAAATGGTAAATACTTTAAACAGTTGTTTCCTCTTTCTAAAGTGAACATAAATCTCAAAGTACCCATAATACAGCTAGGATATTACTTGTTATATATATCATTCTACAGTGCTTTGCCAAGTTTAAGATATTTTATTGTTATCCACATGATTTTTGAACAGTTTAGTGAACTTTTGTTGCTGTGTATTCCATTCAAATTCTTTACAAGAAATATTTAATGATTTAAATTTTCCTTTCTTTATATATCTAAATTTAGCAATATCCTTACAAAACATTCCTAAATATGATTTATAAAAGGCAGTGGTTTTTAGTAAATATATTTTCTAGGTTTAAAAACAAAGTTTGACTTATGCTAAAATAGTATTTAAAAAAAAAATATTTTCCTAATACTTATGAAATGTTGAATAAACTTCAAAACTGCAAGTAGCTACAACTGATTATTCAACATCAGCAATATCCTGACTAAATATTCTAAAATCTGATTTATAAAATTCTTAAGTTTTCAGTCATTTTTGTTTTAGAGACAAACATGGAATTTGTTCTTAGGTATAAATAATAATCTAATTAAAAAGATATCTAGTGTTTACAAAATAGTGATGAAATTTCAAAACTGCAGGTAGCTAGCTACAAATGGTTATTCATAGTTCATCTGATTCTGTAAAATTTCACAATTGTAAAGTGTCTGCTTTTGAAATTACAACTGAATTTTCATAATTGAAATATCATAAATCTAAAAGTAATTATTCAGTGTATTTAGAATAAATCTTTACAACTAATGATTAAAAGTGTATTCAGCTGTATACAACTGATTATTCAATGTCCAGTTATGTGAAACTTCAAAGCCTTATTCACATTATACAATGTGTAAAATTACAAATAATGTTACGCACACACTAATAAGTTGTGTGAAACTATTATGGCCCAACTGTGTGTGAAATTAAGATTGATTATTCACTCTGTCGGGTTATTTATATAGGGTGGGCGGATATATATATAGGAGGGGACAACGTGACGCGGAAAGGTATAGATAGTGAGTAATTGAACTGCAGTCACACGGTATTGTTGAAGTTAACGTTCGTTCGTTACAGTGTTGTTTTAGCGCGAGTATTGAGATTAAGTGTATCGCAGAGTTATATTCGGAAAGAATAAACCAGTTTTATTGAGTAAAGACTTGTATCGTTAAAATTTCGTCGGAACGAAGTTACGGAAAAATCAATTAACAAACGGAGACGTAACAGTATGTTGAAATACATTACACGAAACATTTTAATCTGTTGTTAGGCCTCTTATAATGTTGATGTGTATATATACTATGTTTGGGGATTTTGAGTCCTTTACTTATTTATGAAGTTGGGCTCTATTTAATCCACAGAAAATATAACCTGTGAGCATGTGATTTTAGTCGAGCTAACGTCCGAATTTCAGAAGCCATGTGGTACTTCTTTAAATTCTGTTTGTAAACAACTGCAAAAAAGTACGCCCATGTTCCATTTGACATTTGATATTTCTTTAATTTCAACAATACTGTGTTATTATTCTTATCAACCACAGAACTTTCATCTTCAACATCGAAACCTAAACAAGGATATTCAAATATATTTTTGATTCGCCGCACCCTCTGCTGTGGAATGTAGTTTCGCCTATTCAAGGATCATCAGCACAGCTTTTTTAATATTTTGTTAGGCATCTTATAATGGTGATGTGTTTACAATATATTTGGAGTTTGTGTGTCCTTGACATATTTGTGAAACTCATTTCTGAAGTACCCCTCAAAATTTGTCCTGGACTTCCTAAGCTCTTAATCTGGCTTTGTCTCCAGTGATGGATAACCTATCATAGCTGATAATCTTACGTTTGTTAATCCCTTTGAAGATTTATTATTTAGTATTTTTGCATATTATCTATCTATCGCGTGCGTTAATGTACTGCTCAAACTTTCGTTAATAAATAGTATTGAATTCTATGTATTGGTTTTTTGAGTCCCGACTGGTTAATCCCTTCAAAATGTTTGTTGAAATATATTATACGAAGCATTTTAATCTTCTGTTAGGCCTCTTATAAGGGTGGTGTGTACATAATTAAGTAAAATACCAGCCTTTGTATAAAATTTGCTTAAAACACAAAAATACTTTGTACTCTGAACGTCATGTTATCATTTTAAGAAAAATTCTTATTTGAATATATATACACATGTAATAAGTTCTTTTCTTGATTTACTATAGTTATACAGCAGTATTGAACTCAGCTTGCCGTCACGCTTGGCCTCTACTACACCACGTGGTTTTCCTGTTTTACAGAATAATTTTAAAATTCGGCTTCCGCAAGGAAAGCGTTGTGACCTCACTACGTTTTGTAAACATCAAGAAGCAATGAAACCTTATTTTCACACAGGAAAGTTAAACAGTCATTTTCAAAGCCAACATTGGCAAAAAAAACTTTAATAATTGTGAAATATATAATTTGTTTTGTTGTATCGTTGTGCTTTTCAGATTGTATAAAAACGATAGGTGACGTTGTACGTTTTTGCAATTATAATAATATTAAAACTTATTATGTTTGTCAACAGTGTTAATTTCTGATGAATTTGTTATGCTTCAGGGTTTTGTTTACAAAATATCATTTCAAAATGCTTCGTATATTATATTTCAACAGACATTTTAAATGGATTAATAGACGTAGGATTATCCCTATCATTTTGGGGACAAAGCCGGATTAAAACATACCACGGAAGTGTATGAAGTAGTGAAGTGTTGTACTGGTTTTCTTTAACTTAATCCCAATTTCACAATATTTGAAGTTTGATTTTAATTTCATTTTTGATATAGTATTTTATTCGTCAATAACTGGGCTGACATAATAGATTTATGATTATATATTATATTGCAGTAACTATAAAAACAATTTTTCCTTCACAGACAACATCACACACATGTACTACTGGGCACTAATAAACTACATACGTACATATCTTAAAGGGGAAAGGGGGCCCCCATCCACTAAACTAACCTTCAAAATAGAAATATAATATTCAAAACCAGTTTTTGTCATTCAAATATTTATCAAGTCTTCCCTTAAATTAACTGCACCCATCACATCTGAAGGCAAGCCATTCCAAAGGCCAACCATCCTGTTAGGAAAAATAAAGCTGTCTTAGCAGAAGATAGCTCTTGCCCTGCCAAAATTTAAACTTATGTCTCCTAATCCTACCATTCTTACGATTAAATACAAAAAAAGATGATGTATCAATTCCCTTGACAATTTTAAACACCTCAATCTTACGATTAAATACAAAAAAAGATGATGCATCAATTCCCTTGACAATTTTAAACACCTCAATCTTACGATTAAATACAAAAAAAGATGATGCATCAATTCCCTTGACAATTTTAAACACCTCAATCTTACGATT